CACTGGCCGTAGTGTATGAGTGTGTGTGTGTGTGAATGAGTGTGTATGGGTGTTTTCCAGTATTGGGTTGCAGCTGGAAGGTATCCGCTGTGTAAAACATATGCTGGAATAGTTAGTGGTTCATTCCGCTGTGGCAACCCCTGATGAATAAAGGTACTCAGCTGAAGGAAAATTAATGAATCCGTCCATCCATCCATCCATCCATCCATCCATCCATCCATCTATCTATCCATCCATCCATCCATCTATCTCTCTCTCTCTCATGAGGTCTATAGCGGAGAGCAGGCAGTGTTTATGGGCTGTTGAACACATGTTACAGCACATGTGTGTGTTCGCACTGTTAGAGGAATCTGTCTAATGCATTTTCACACCTCTGAAGTGTTGAATCTGGATGAGCTCAAACACTTCACACCCTGTTTACTGCTGCAAAGAGTGTTTTCTGCTTGCCGTCAGGGAACTTACTAAATTATATGCATTCATTTTAAAGTATAAGCAGACTAACAAATGACCAAACCCATGTTTTTAATTAATATTAATGATTAAGATTCATTCATTTATTCATTCATTTCATTTTTGGCTTAGCCCCTTGATTAATCTGGGGTCGCCACAGCGGAATGAATCAATAACTTATCCAGCACATGTCATTACGCAATTGGTGCCCTTTCAGCTGCAACCCATCACTGGGAAACACCCATACACACTCATTCACACACTCATACACGACGGACAATTTATCCTCCCCAATTTTCCTAAAGCACATGTGTTTGGACTGTGGGGGAAACCGGAGCACCCGGAGGAAACTCACGCGAATGCAGGGAGAACATGCAAACTCCACACAGAAATGCCAACTGACCCAGCCGGGGCTCGCCCCAGCGACCTTCATGCTGTGAGGCGACAGCAATACCTACTGCACCACTGCATTGCCCAAAATGTTAAATATACAAATATAATGTTTGAATACTGTGTCTGTGTGTTTAGTCGAGTTTCGACTGTTTGTAAATCTGAACTCTGAGGGTTCAAACTAATCGAAATGTTAAGAAAATTGCAACAGCGTATGAAATATAATATAAATAAACTTGCTTTGCCTTGCAATGTCCTTTACTGCCAATATCTTGCGGAGATAAATAAAGAAGTTTATTGTGTGCCAAATATTAGTACATTAATTAAAGATTATGCTCTATGGTTAGTACTTGATTAGTATTATCATCCTAATATTAATATGCATTGCTAAGAACTTAAGTTGGACAGTTTTAAAGTGCTTTACATGAGCAGGAATACAAGTATAAGAAAATAAAAACAAATAATAAGAGTAATTACAGTTTTTTACAGTGGCTTTGGTGCATTTCTCTCAACACTATTTACATTTGCACAACAGTTCATGCATTTCTCTAAACAGTCAGTGCAAACTGCAAACCCCAGCTGATAACCTGCAGAAGAGTGTCACTTGCTCAACATGGAGAGCTCATCCCTCAACAGCAGGTATTGATGTCAATGAAGGTGTCAGCGTCATCCAGATGAAGAGTCCTCACAGCATTGATTATGAACAGACGTCTGTCCTGTTTTCATTATCAGTTTACTCTCTACATTTTATCCAGTGCACTGAAGGCAGATTTAGGTGACACGTGCTGAAAATGCTCGAGACAGCAGCACTATATACTGTCAGCACAGCCGTTTGAACACTACAGTAAAGTTAGACATCACGGCATTTAGTTACTAGACACTGAATAAGTGTGCTTCACATGTTCACTGCAGATCCTCTTTATAACTCTAGTTTATTGACAGCATTGTGCAGAAGAATAAACTCAGCCTTATTTACAACTAACACACATAAAGCTGTGCACAACTGTAGACAACACTGCAGGACATGCTGGAACTGAGTCCACAATACACACAGATCTGTACATCACTCAGGAAACTGTTCCATTGAAGGACATTTTCAGGAAGAAAGATGTTTATAAAATGACAGATTTTGACACTAGTTCAACATTGGTGTGTGTGATGCCTCCAGCAGTGAAATGAGGACTGTATATGGAGTGACTATTCAGCATTCACAAGTGTAGTTCACCCTGACTGACATAAGCAGATGATGATGTTATAAACAGCAGAGAGACGTCTGAAAGCAGCTGATGCATGTCCAGAAGCATTCGCAATGTGTTGGAAGGAATGAGAAACTGCTGCTATGATGTGCACAAATGATGAACTGTACTGAGAAATGCATGAACTGTTGTGCAAATGTAAACAGTGCTGAGAGAAATGCACCAAAGCCACTGAGAAACACTGTAAACTGAAGGATGTGTAATGCCACATGTGAACAGCTGATGGCAGTGTCGCGCTGTTCTTCATCACACACACACACAGACACACACACTCACAGACAGTACAGTAAATAAATAAAGCAGCTTTTACTTCTCACACAACATCTGGCTGTTAAAAAGATGAAAATAAATATGTTTAATAAAACAAAGCGGCTCCTCTTAAAGTGTGACTGCAGTCACTCAATGAAACGCCTGCTGGAGCTCTCTCTCTCTCATACAAACACACACACACACACACACACACACACACACACACACACACACACACACACACACACACACAAACACACACACACAGACACACACACACACACACACACACACACACACACACACACACACGCACACTCACTGTATACTGGCCTCAGTGATTGTTTGTATATTTGTGTGTTTGTGTGTGTGTGTGTGTGTGTGCATGCATGCTTCTGTTATTATGTGTGTTTGTTTTTGTGTGTGTTTGTGTGCTTCAGTGTTTTCTCTTGTGGTTTCTGTATGTGTGTGAGTTGTTTGTGTTTTCTGCTGTGTGTGCCTGAGCAGTGTGTGTGTGTGAGCATATGTGTGAGCATATGATTATGTTCTGAGTGTTTTCCACCATGTGTGTGTTGTTTATGTTTTCCAGCATGTGTGATCGTGCATGTTTGTGTGTGTGTGTGTGTGTGTGTGAGTGTGAGCATATGTGTGTATGTTTTGAGTGTTTTCCACCGTGTGTGTTACGTGTATGTGTGTGAACATATGTGTGTGTGTTCTCCTTGAGCCTGTGATCGCAGCAGCTTCAGCTCCAGCTGGTGTGTGAGTGTGTGTGTGTGTGTGTGTGTGTGTGTGTATGTGTATGTGTGTGAGTGTGTGTGTTCTGCCACAGATGGTTGTGTCTTCATGAATCAGGCTGAGACATTGAGCTGCGCTGCGGACACTGAGCAGCACATGAAGCCTCCCTGTGTCTGTGTGTGTGTGTGTGTGTGTCTCTGTGTGTGTGTGTGTGTGTGTGTGTGTGAGAGAGAGATAAAAGCGTCACGGATGGGCTAAACCTGTGCTAAATATAGCCACACGCCACAGAACATAGAGTCTCCGGGTTAAAGCTAAACACTGCATCAAACCATTCTTGTTTTGAGAGTAAAAGCAACCCAGTACTGGGAAACACCCATACACACACACACACACACACTCATACACTATGGCCAGTGTAGTTGATCAGTTCCCCTATAGCGCATGTGTTTGGACTGTGGGGGAAACCGGAGCACCCAGAGGAAACACACGCCAACACAGGGAGAACATGCAAACTCCACACAGAAACACCAACTGACCCAGCCGGGACTCGAAACAGCAACCTTCATGCTGTGAGGCCATAGTGCAACACCACTGTACTAAGCCAAACTTAGTTTAGTCAGTCAATGTGTGTGTCCACTCACCGATCTCGCAGTTGCTGCCCATGTACCCGGTGCCGGTGCAGTCGCAGATGTAGCGGTTCCAGCCCTCTTTGCACTGTCCTCCATTGGCACAGGGGGCGCTGCTGCACCTCTTCTGGAGCTCGCGGGTGCAGAAGCTGCTGACGCCCGGAGCGCTCTGAATCTCCGCCAGTCGCCGCACGTCTCGGCTCTTCCCATCGATGAACAGGTCGCGGACACAGCCCACGTAACCGTAGTTGAGCAGCGCCGTCCACACCTCGGGTGGGAGCACCAGGCCCTGCCGCATCTCCGGGAGTCCACCCAGATACATGTCACTGTCCAGATCCAGGATCTCGCTGCCCTCATTAGTGCTGAAGGGCATGGAGCGGCTGTTCACCGAGATCGAGCCTGCGCAACACACAGCAACAACACTTTATACAGCTGAAGAATTAATAACTGATGCAGAAAAGCTGATGCTTTTATGAGCACTAGATTAGATTACTGTGATGGTCTGTTCACTGGTTCCCCAGTGTCCTCTGTTAATAAACTGCAGTTTAAACTTCAGTGCAAAATGCAGCAGCCAGAGTTCTTACCAGGTCTCGAAAATATGATCATATCACCCCAATGTTCTCCTCCTTACTCTGGCTGCCCGTTCAGTTCATTCATTCATTCATTCATTTTCTTGTTGGCTTAGTCCCTTTATTATACAGTACGGACAATTTAGCCTACCCAATTCACCTGCACTGCATGTGTTTGGACTGTGGGGGAAACCGGAGCACCCGGAGGAAACCCACGCGAAGGCAGGGAGAACATGCAAACTCCACACAGAAACGTCAAGGCTCGAACCAGCGACCTTCTTGCTGTGAGGCGACAGCACTACCTACTGCGCCACTGCCTCGCCCTGTTCAGTTCCATATTGATTTTAAAATATTAATTCTTAGCTATAAAGCTTTGAAATAATCAAGCTCCTGTTTATCAACCAATCTTCTATCTCGCTACAATCCAACCCGCTCTTTAAGATCTCAAAACTCAGGGCTTCTGGTAGTACCTAGAATAGCAAAGTCTACTAAAAGAGGCTGAGCCTTCTCATATATGGTTCCTGAACTCTAGAATAGAGTTCCTGATCATGGTCATAGTGATGGTAATTCTTGTTCTCTATTTCCACTTGGTGATGCTCATCCCGAGGCCTCTAGAGATTCTGCAGCACCATTGATTGGATCCAAGACCTGTGAAGAAATGATCCAGGGCTACGAGGATAACACACACACTTAATACACAAATACTCTTCATTAACCATGTACACACATATATCACCTATATACTCTATAGTTGTGTCCTCCTGATGTTTCAGTATCCCATGTTTAGAGCTGAACTATGAACTCGAATGCCCTGAGTACAGTGCTAGGGATGCAGTGTTTCCCTCACCTCTCCTTCCTTCCCTCTGGAAGTCCACGTGACACCATTCCCCATCGTTGACCTTCTTGTTGCTGGCCTTGATTTTGATGCTGCCGGATCCCATGTCCATCAGCAGGTACAGGAACCCGTCCAGCAGCTCCATGGCGAAGTAGTCACTCTTGGTCTCCCGACCAGGCCGTGTCTCCTTGCTGCCCTGCGGTCGACCGTGGCTGAAGAGCAGCAGTCCGCTGGGTTCACTGGTGCGGAAGTCAAAGGAGATGGAGCTGGTCTTCTTGGTGTCCCAGCGGGGCAGGGAAATGAAGGAGTCTGGCGTCTCGAAGGTCACAGGGTCCAGCGCCGCCACGTCCTCACAGCGGAACACCAGCTCCCCGTGCAGGCTGATCTTTGGGTCCCTCTCGATGGCCAGGCGAGACAGCTCCAGTTTAAAGTCATTGTTCTTGTAGACCACCTGCAGGACACACCAGCAACACTTACCACAGATGCTTCATTTAACGTATAAGTGAACTAGACGTTGCGGAGACTTTTATTTCAGCATGTTGATGTACGTCCATCTGAAACTGAATATTGAGTAGGGGGTGGGACTTTCTTTTAGCGCATCATGACCTCATAGCAAACTAACACTGAGAGAAATTAAATATTGAGTAGGGGGCGGGGCTTTCTATTGGTAAAGCAATGGTAAGATTGAAGTGGTACAGCATATTCTAACTTCCAATTTTAATGGAATATTGAGTAGGGGGCGTGGCTTTCTATTGGTCAAGCAATGGTAAGATGGAAGTGGTTAACAATATTGTGGCTTCCTACTAAAATTAAATATTGAATAGGGGCGGGAATTTTCTATTTGCGCATCACTATCTCATAGCAAACTAAAGGTAAGAGGGGCGTGGCTAAGAATATTGTGGTTTCCAAATGAAATTAAATATTGAGTGGGGGCTGGGCTTTCTATTGATAAACCAAGGGTAAGATGAGAGTGGTTAAACATATTGTGGCTTCCATTTTTAATGGAATATTAAGTAGGGGGTGGGGCTTTCTAACAGTAAACTAATGGTAAGGGGGACATGGTTTAGAACATCTTGGCTTCCAACTGAAACCGAATATTGAGAAGGGGTGGAGCTTTCTAAACTGAATCTAAAGTAAGAGGGTCATCGATAATATTCTGGCTTGGAACTAAAATGGAATATTGAGTAGGGGGCGGGGTTTACTTTTTTGTGCGTCATTACCTCATAGCAAACTAAAGGTAAAGGGGGTGGGGTTTTCTTTTTTGTAAATCATTACCTTATAGCAAACTAAAAGTAAGAGGGGTGTGGCTTAGAATATTGTTGTTTCTAATTGAAATTTAATATTGATTGGGGGCGGGGCTTTTTATTGACAAACATAACAAACTAAAGGTAAGAGGGGTGTGGCTAGGAATATTGTGGTTTCCAATTTAAATCAATATTAAGTATGGGACGGGGCTTTCTATAGATAAACCAAGGGTAAGATGGGAGTGGTTAAGCATATTGTGGCTTCCATTTATAATTGAATATTGAGTAGGAGGTGGGGCTTTCTAATGGTAAACTAATGGTAAGAGGGACAAGGTATAGAATATTGTGGCTTCCAACTAAAACTAAAACAGAATATTGAGTAGGGGTGGAGCTTTCTAAAATTAATCTAATGGTAAAAGGGGTGTGGTTAACAATAATATGGCTTGGAACTGAACTGAAATATTAAGTAGGGGGCAGGGCTTTCTTTTTTGTGCATTATTACCTGATAGCTAACTAAAGTTAAAGGGGTGTGGTTAAGAATATTGTAGCTTCCATTTATAATTGAATATTGAGTAGGAGGTGGGGCTTTCTAATGGTAAACTAATAGTAAGAGGGACAAGGTATAGAATATCGTGGCTTCCAACTAAAACAGAATATTGAGTAGGGGTGGAGCATTCTAAAATTAATCTAATGGTAAAAGGGGTGTGGTTAACAATAATGTGGCTTGGAACTAAACTGAAATATTAAGTAGGGGGCGGGGCTTTCTTTTTAGTGCATTATTACCTGATAGCCAACTAAAGGTAAAGGGGTGTGGTTAAGAATATTGACGCTTCCAACTAAAACAGAATATTAAGTAGGGGGTGGAGTTTTCTAAAATTATTCTAATGGTAAAAGGGGTGTGGTTAACAATAATGTGGCTTGGAACTGAACTGAAATATTAAGTAGGGGGCGGGGCTTTCTTTTTAGTGCATTATTACCTGATAGCCAACTTAAGATAAAGGGGTGTGGTTAAGAATATTGTAGCTTCCAACTAAAACAGAATATTGAGTAGGGGGTGGAGCTTTCTAAAATTAATCTAATGGTAAAAGGGGTGTGGTTAACAATAATGTGGCTTGGAACTGAACTGAAATATTAAGTAGGGGGCGGGGCTTTCTTTTTTGTGCATTATTACCTGAGAGCCAACTAAAGGTAAAGGGGTGTGGTTAAGAATATTGTGGCTTCCAATAAAACAGAATATTGAGTAGGGGCGGGGCTTTCTTTTTGGACATCATTACCTCATTGCAAACTAATGGTAAGAGGGGCGTGGCTAAGAATATTGTGTTTGAAATGTCAAACTGACTTCATCAGAGAAATGCTCCTCCAAACACAGAAGCAGATGCTCAGAATGAAGATTAGCAAAACAAACGTCTTTATGCACAGAGGAATTGTTCACCTAAAGAACAATAATGTGCTCAAAACAGACATTGCAAACGGTCTACACTCGGTTCCTCTGGCCCGGTTCTGCACAGAAACAGCACTGCTGACTGTGTTCGTGCTGATCTGCAGAGACTCACATCCTTCAAGCAGCCCATGAAGTTGTTGCTGACCGGTGATCCAGGCAGATCGGCTGTGTTCGGGCTTCCTCCGATATAGAAGAAATCATCAGAGCCCAGCATGGTGTAATCCTCCTGTGTGTAGCCTGTGGTGGTCAGAATACCATCCACTGAGATAGTGACCTGCGGGAGAAAGAGAGAGAGAGAGACGGAGAGAGAGAGAGAGAGAGAGAGAGAAAGAGAGAGAGATTCCCCCAGAGGAACAGAGAGAGGAGAGAGAGACACTGGATTAAAGAGTCATTGTGGTTCTGCTGGTTCTGCTGGACTGCTTTTACTGTGAACAGACACTCCTGTACTGCAGCTGAACACCAGACTCTCCTCCAATCACTGACAGCAGATTATAATACACAGCTCAGACACCCAATCAAACACTCTGCTTAATTTTATTAATAATAGCAATTATTTTTACATTTACATTTAGCAAACGCTTTTGTCCACAACGACTTACAACTCAGAAAAATGTATAAATAAAAAAATATATAAATATTTTTTTGAGTATTTATTTTAGAAATTTAAGAACTTTTTTCAAAAAATATATTTGCATATATTTATATAAATTTTATTCAGATTTTTTTCTTGTCTGATTTTAACAAAAGTTTTAGCAATATTACTTTTATTCACGAAGTAATTGTTAATATTTTAAGTTTTTCGTCGTTTCATTTCTGTTAATGTTTTAATACTTTCATATTTATTATCTCAGTTTATTGTACTTTTATATTTATGGTTATCCTGTTTCCTTTCATTTAAATTTAAGTGTCATTTTATGATTTTAGGTGAAGTTTATTTATAAAGTAATGTTGAGAGGATCACGTGTTTATGATTGATCACGGCCGGTGCTGCATTATCCAATTTATGATTGACCAATCAGACGATTCCTAATCCACTATAAACACCCTCAGCTCCATATCACAGCCATCTTCATTTTGAAGAATCCCCCCTTCCACCCCTCCTCCTCCTCCTTTCCTAGATGGGTGGCCCAGTGGTTAACTCTGTTGCCTCACAGCAAGAACGTCGCTGGTTGTAGTCCTTACTAAGCCAGCCGACGTTTCTGTGCAGAGTTTACACGTTTACCCCGTGCTCACCAGGGTTCCCCGGTTTCTTCCCCCCGTCCAAAAACATGTAGCTTAAGTTAATTGACTAATTCAAATCAGCACCATAGACATGCTACTAGTCAGTAGTTATCTCTTAAGAGCGATCACTATCTCTTCATGAGCTACTACAGCTAGGGAGTTCACCACATCTACCTGAGCTCAAACTCCCCTCTCGCCTTACCAATAGGAGGGAGCCCCATGCTCGAGAATCTTATGAGCTCAGTGCTCTCTCCCGGGACAGCATGCCAAACACGCTTAATAATCAATCATCAGCTGAGTATGAACTCATGAAGTAGTGATTTTAGTTTTAGTAATTTTAAAGTTTCTATCCAACATCAGAGGTAAATAGGTGCAATATCTATATGAATAATAAGAGTAGAACTAAAATCCAGTGGCGCCCCCAGACAATTTTCTTAGGGGTGGCCAGATGAGGCCATACCAAATCTTGGGTGACACACAAAGCAATAATGAATTCAGTGTATGTTTGAGTTTTTGGTAAATGTAATATTGTGGTTTTAATCCATTACTCTTAAAATATTACGATTCATTACTTGAAATAATTCAGCAAGTACATATGACTCAATATTTCAATATTTCGCTTACAAACCCTTTTCAGGTCAGTCATTTTTCACATTCTTTTTATTACAGCAGAATACAGTATATGCCATGTCTAAAATTAATAAAGATTAATGAATTAATTTATAAAACAAACTGAACGAATAGCATTACTTTATGCACACACACACTCACTAATAATAGCATGTGTCCATGTTTGTTTTTGAGCCACAATATTATTAGATTTGTTGATAAAAAGTGTACAATCTCATGAACCCAAAGTTGTGCATAAATCCCACAAGCAATACTAAACAGCTTGTGTTATAAAAAACTGACTTGTATTTTTATTTTTAAGGCGTAGCAGCCTAATCAGCAAAAGCAAATGCTCTGTAGGAAAGTGAAACTCAAACTAATTCTAAGCCTTGTCAAGTAATGTAAACACAATTAGTATTTAACTGAAAGCTTAACAGACAGTGTATGATAGTTATTTAATTGAAGATGCGTGACAAACATACCCAATGTTGTGTCCTGAATTATTGCCATTGCTGTCTGTTGAAGGTGTGTGTGTGCTGGGAGGGGCAGTGAATCAGCTGCGTTGGTGGCGCCAGTCAATCCACAATAACTTAGTGGCTTTATTGAAATATTGTGAATTTCCTTCAGTGCATTTAAATGAATAATATCAACAGCAAAATAATATTGGGGTGGCCACAGGGAAGGCCAGAGTTTACACAGGGGTGGCCGTGGCCGTGGAGGCGCCCCTGCTAAAACATCCAACTTTTTAACTTTTATTTAAGCTAATTTAGTTAAATAAACTCCTGTTTGCTAAACAACTATATATTACTGAAATTAATATAAAAAACGGAATAAATATATTCTATTTACACACATTTGGATAACTAAATAAATACACTTAATGATGGGTTAAACACCTGTGGATGTTGGCCCAGTAATGATTAACTTACCCCCCCCTCCCCCCCCACACACACACACATGTGTTTACCTGACTTGCTTTTAAATGCTCGGCCAGGATCATTGAGATGTCGAATAATAATGATGTTTTGCCCTTTCTGACTGAACGTGTCCAATTAAACGCAGCGCTGATAAAGGCTGAAGCAGAGCCGACGACTCTATCTGCCAAATTATTATTTTATTCAGTGACAATCAAACACGGAGGCGGAATGAGTTTCAGTCACCTCCGCACAACACCACCTCATTAAACACACACACACACACACACACACACACACACACACAAACACACACACACACACACAGAGCTGTGTTTATAACGCTTCATAAGGAGGATGGTCTGATGTACAGGAGTGTTTCTCACAGTGTTATTGGTACACACAACTCATTTTTATGTCTGTTGCTGGCCTGAGGTCAGTCTGTACGCTGGAGCGTTTCTCAGGGCTTCTTCTCAAGAGCAAATAACATCTTCATCAGCAGATTCATCGTTTACTGAATAATAAAGCGGGTTTCTGGCTCCCGGAGCACAGCGTGAGAAGACTGTACTGTACTGTACGTGTGTGACGGTCCGCGTTCAGGTGTGTGATCCACTGTACTGCCGACACCTCTGATATTAACAGCTCATGATTATTCAGTGTTGACTTATGCTAATTAGACAGCGCTCTGGAATACTGCAATCTGATTGGTCAGTCAGGACATTCCGAGGCGTGTTACCTGCTGATAACCACTGATGATTAATTACTGGCTGATCTCATAACATAAACTCATGTGGATACTGCCTAATGAATATAGTGCTGGCCGAAACTACCCATCACATCACACAATGCGGCACATCAGAGCATCTGATTGGACATATTGTCTAAATGTCATTTTGCTCAGTATAAACACTGATCAGATGTGTATCCTGTGCGTGTGTGAGAGTGTGTGTGCAGTCACTGGCTGGTGTGTGTGTGTGGTCAAGGCGCTGGCATTATGTCAGTGTGATCAGCGCAGGTTTCTGGCCTAGACTCCAGTGATATTACAGTAAATAAACGATGATGGTGAGAGTCGAGCAGCTGTCAGACACACACACACACACACACACTGAGTCCAACACTGAGAGAGAGAGAGAAACGGCTGAAGCAGAAGCAAAGACACACTCCTGCACACAATCACACACACACACATGCACATTTCTGAACACACACACACACACACACACACACACACACACACACACACACACACACACACACACACACACACACACACACACACACACACACACACACACTCGATTGCTTTCACAAAATCTTTCAACCCAAGTTCATTCTGGAAACGTAGCCCCGCTGATGTTTCTGGAGACCGTGGTTTACGAACATGGCCGGAGGTATGTATGGCTGCATTTTATTTTTTAAGCGAACGCTACGGCCGGTGTGACGCCGCTCCTCTTTGCACTCGCCCACTGACAGCTCACCTCCGTATGGAGGGCTTTCCCACCGCAACCAGTTTGTCCGGTTAGCTCATCGTGTATGTCGGCGGAGCGGAGACCCACGGAGCTGACCACTAAGACGGCGATAACCGGGTTCGAGTCCGGGAAAGAGCGATTCCAGAAATCAGGGAAGACAAAAACAGAATCCAGTGAATAACAGGGTGAGAATGTGGTGAACTCTGAAAACGCAGTCAAAATCAGACAAGGGCTTTTCTTTTTCTGGACGGCTTTTGTAAATCGCTGCTTGGGTTTTAAGGAAGCGAGCGGGCGAGCAGGCGGGTCAATCGGTAAAACCGGTTGGGTTTAGGGAAGGAGAAGGGTGGGTTGGGCGATTGGCTGGTCGCCCAGTCAGTCATTCAGACAGTCGAACAGACGGTCACTCGACAGCGGCCTCCGGTGGCTTAACACGAGAACAGCGCGGGCACTAACGGCACTCGTGACAGGCGTTTGATATGCAAAAAAGCAAAC